GCTATTTTTTGGTTGCAGCCGTCATTGTTGTTTGGCGGGTCCGGGCTGGGGATTTGAACCCGCCACCTTAGGTGTACGTGGCTGGCGCCAAGCCTATTACTGCCTTCTGTGAGCATGTCACCACCTACAAGGCTTTGCATCCCTCCTTTCATTTACTTTTCAACAATCTAGAAGGTGAGCACTCTTATTATCCACATTTAGCAGGTGAGGAAACTGAGGCTCAGTGAACTTAAAGCCCTTGCATAGACTCACATGACTGGGTGAAGTCTGAATTTGAACTCACTCCAAGTTCCTTGATTTTCTGCAAGCCTGCCCATGCATAGGAATATAAACTGGCAAAATATCTAGAAAGTCCTGAGATGCTCATGAATGGGGATGCAAAAGTTTCTCCCCCTGAAGCAGGCCCAGTAGGTGGTCCAAAGAAGCAAGCTAGAACCATGACAGGCCCACAATCCAAGCACAGTGACTAGATACCCGTGACAGGAAGGGGGGAGACCCAGCTTCCCTCCAAGGTACACACAGGCACTCAGAGGGCCTGATACTTGCCAGTACCTTGGAATGCAAGAGGACTTAGGGCCCTAGCACTGGCCCTTCTAGACCAGGGACCCCCAGGTACCACTGAGCGCACTAAGATCCAGAAAGGCTCCAGGACAGGCTGGCAACCCACTCTCTGCTTACTGGCAGGCCAAGCCCCAGCATTCTCAGACCCAGACAGTTTCCTGGTGACAGTCACACACAAGCAGGGGACACATACATGAATGTGGGCTCAAGCACACTCAGTTCCACCCACACATATTGCCAAAGACCGAACCTGCTGCCGCCATCTGTTCTGTGCACAGTTGCACACTTGACCTCTTGGGCATACGGTTGAGGCCACACTGACAACCACACACGCGCACACACACACGTGCATGTGCAAAATGGGATCTCAGAGAGACAGGGAAGACAGGTGGAGCTGGCTGAGGAGTTGAAAATCCCTGCAGCCTCACAACCACGTGAGGCCTATGCCCTGGGATCAACCCCCTGGATTGCCCACTGTCCTCAGGTGGCTGCCTCCTCCCTCCCTCCCCAGGCCCTGACAGTCTTCTGCCCTCCCACTTTAAAGCTAGGCCGTGCATCACCACCCGCGATCACCACCAGGGGGCGCATGAACCTTGCCTAATTTCTTCAGACCAGCCTCCCTCCAAAACCCTCATTCTTCATTCCTATAGCACCCATTTGTTTCAGGTGCTAGGACACAGAGAAGAAGGGAGGGGTAAAGGAGGAAAAAGGCGGAGTCAGGCCAAGGGAAGAGGGACTGGAGTTTAGATTTGTGGAGAAGTTATTGGCAGGATGGGCTAGGACAGCCAGAGTATACTGAATACCAGCTGTGTTCCTAGGTGTTCTAGATTTGTTTGACATGCATTAGCTCATTTAATCCTCAACTGTATTGACTAGGCAGTCTAGAATAACTTCCATTCTTCTGCTTTTATTATTGGTGCAGTAAAGCAGACATGATGACAATCACCACTTCTTCAGGTTTCTGTAAGGATTAAACAGGTCAGTGTGAGCAGTGTACTCAGAACACTATCCACTTGTTATCATCATCCCCATTTTATAGGTGGGGAAACCAAGGCACAGTTAGCAAGGAAGTTTAGCAAAGAGTAAGATTAAATTTGAGCAGGGTGGGCCAGAGTACAGGCTTACCCAGTTACCAGCCCCTAGCTATCAAATCAGGGGCTCCCAGGGCAAGTGTGGGGGGGGG